GTATCAGTCCTGGGGGTTATTGGCCACAGGGGCTATTTGTCCCGAGGGGTTATTGGTCCTGGGCAGGGGTTATCGGCCCAGGGGGTATCAGCCCCAAAGGATATTGGCCCCAGGGTCTGTGCCTGGGTGTGAGTCAGGAGGTCCTGACTCAGGAGAAAACTGGCCCTGGGTGGGTATCAGCCCTGGTGGGCTGAGCCAGAGGGTCTCAACATGGAGGGACCTGTACATGGGGGTCCTGGCCCTGGGACTGACCCTTGGGGTGGGTCTTGGCCTGGAGGGGAGATCCAATCCTGATGGAATCTGGGTTCAGGAGTGGGGTCTGGCCCTTGAGGGGGTCTTGACCTGAGGAGGGACTGACCCTGGTGGGTCTTGTCCTAAGGGAGCCTGGTTCTGGGTCCAACGTTTGGAGGGTCCCCACTGTGGGGACTCCCCCTGCTCTGAGGAGTGCCTGGCTCCAGGGGAGAGGGCTGACATGACTCTCTAGACCCCAAGAATGACTTCACAATGCAAGGCCCCAGCCTGGTCCTCCTGGGAAGCACAACAGCTGCCTTTGGAGGCCAGGAGCACTGGGACATTGGCCAAGGCCACTGGGGCAGGGCTCGAGTGAGCTGGGTCAGCATGTGGGATGGGGGGTGCCACCCTCCAGCACCTCCCAGCCCTCCCAGGACAGGACCTGAGCTAGGTGACCTCCTGGGGAGGGTCTGGGGATAGGCACCATGGCACAAACATATTTTCTGGGACTTCCAACTTGACTTCATATCCAAAGAACAGAGCCTGTGGGGCCATGCAAGGATTGACCAGCTGCTCTGAGCCCCTGGCTCCAGGTTTGCTCACCTGAAACCAGTTTGTGGGCAATGTGGGGTGCTGGCTGGGAATGATTCCTGTGGGTGAAATAAACACCTTTTAAGAGAAATTGTGTCTGGTGATGAGTGAGAGCTGCCCATGCCCCATCCTAGGGAGCTGCTGGTTCGGATGAGTGTTCTCTGGGATTCATTTCACCTCCCAGTTCTCTTGTCAGCGTCTTAATCCACAATGGCATCTTCTCAGCCTTACCTGCGACAGGAACTATTGGCACTGGCTGAAAGGCTTCTTATTTCACTGAGCAGACCTTTCTTTCCGTGAAAAATGCCATATGGAGCCTGCGGCCTCACATGCTCCTTGGCTGGGCAACCACTTGGCAAGGTGAGCATGTCCTTCCCCATAAATGCAGGTGCAGCTCCTTCCCCTTCCAGAGATCTTGGATGGCACCAAAGGTACGTCCTGCTCCCCCTCCTCCCTCACCTCAGCTGCTTCCCTTGCCAATGGCACCTTCTCCAGCTCAGCTTCATTTTGCCACAATGCTCTGCCGGGGCTGAGCCTGGGCACAGCTCAGGGGTGGATCCAGTCCTCACAGGATCCTGCTGTGCTTCCCAGGAGTGGGTAGGATCTGTGGGGCTTTGGACAGTTTTTGGCATGACCAAATCATAGTATGACTAAATTATGGCATTACTGAGTGGCTGTGTTGGCTGTGTTATCAGCGGGCGGGACTGCGGCATCAGAGGGAAGTGGTTGCAGCTGTAGTGAGGGTGCAAGTGGGAAAGGTGAGGATTTACCTGGAGCAGCAGAAGGAAAAGCATCCCGAGGGCAGCAAACCCTTCCCCAGGTTGGGATTTGGGTGTGCTGAAAGCTGGGGTGTTTGCCCATCCCACTTATCAGGGCTCCAGGCAGGAGCAGGTGCTCAGGACACCCAGGCTTGGGCAGGGCTCCGATCCCACCCGCTGGTGAAATATTACCCCAGGGAGCAGAGTGCCATGGGAAATATTTCCCAAACACCTTCCCCCGTGGGTAGGAGCTGCTGTGCTGCCTCGACAGTGGGTCCTGAGGGACAACAGCCTGGGTGAGGATGGGGCAGGGGCAGTGCTGGGAGATGGGGGGGCAGGATATGCCAGGTGAGGATGCTCCAGGCGGGGGGGAGATAGGGAGGAGTGTCAGGGAGATCCATCCTTTCCTCTGTCCCAGAACAGCTGCTGTAGGGTCTTTGGGGTCTGTGGAACAGAGGGATGGGTGGGAGAGACACAAGCCATGGGACCTTGGTGGCCCTGGTGGCTGCCACCCATCTCAGGCCAGGAGAGGTGTCTGGACTGAACATGGTGAATGAGGAAGTGACCGCGCTGTGTCACCATGAAATGGCATTTGTTCCGTTGCCAGTGAATTTTCCACTCCAGCTTCGTGGGTGGTCTGGCCTCCCTCCAGGAGGGACAGGCAGGATGAGGTTCCTGTGACAGGGGTGCACAATCCCTGGGTCCTTGTGGTTCACTGGAAAACAGATGCTTCCCTGTCAAACCAGTATGATCAGTAGAAACACCCTGGCAACCCTATTATCTGTGCCAAATCCCTTTCCTAGCCAGGAGGGCTGAGCTGCTCCTTGCCCCTCTGCACACAGGATGGCAGCCTCCAAGCAAATGCTGTTGCTGCTGGTTGCAGCTCTCCTGCTGCATGTGGCCACCACACTGAAGATTGGTGCCTTCAACATCAAGGCATTTGGGGACATGAAGATGTCCAACCAGACTGTCGCAAATATCATTGTCTCTGTGAGTGCAGGGGGAGAGAAGCAGGCCTGGACACTCTGCTCTTTGGGATGTAGCCATTTTGGGGCAGTGGGACACCAGATTTATCCATCCATCCATCCATCCATCCATCCATCCATCCATCCATCCAGTGCCCATCCATGTATTCACCCACACATCAATTCACCTGTCCACACTCCCATACATCACCTCTGCCCAACCAACCAACCAACCAACCAACCATCCAACCAAACTGTCCATCCACTCATTCACCCAGGCATCTGTCCATCCATCTATGCCTCCATCCACACACCCCTCCATCCAAGCTTACATCCACACATCCCTCTGGTCTTCCCCCAGCACCATCTCCAACCTCAGGCCATGTCTACTCATGCTGGTCCCCAACCAAGGATGGGTGATGCTTGGTGCTGCCCAGGTTCCTCACCCGGAGCAGCTGCTGGGATGGTGGGTGGTTGACAGACGGGTGTTAGAGGGCACCTTCCTGGCTCTGGAGTTCCTGCTGTCCTCCCACTGCCAGCCTGAGAGCCTTTGCAGCCCAGCCCAGGCACCCATGCTTCTGACCAGGGGTGAGCAGCTCTGAGCTTGTCCCCCCAGATCGTGTCGGAGTACGACATCATTCTGGTGCAGGAGGTCCGGGATGCTGACCTGAGTGCTGTGAAAAAGCTCATGGACCAGCTCAACAGGTGACCCCAGTGGCACAGGGTGGGAGTGGCTGCAAATTGGATGTTGGGCCAGATCCCAGCCAACCTCTCGCCATGCCAAGGCACCTCTGGCTCAACTGGAGAGAGGCTCATGGGTGCTGGGAAGCGCCAGGACCTCCTCTCATCCTCTCTGCATCTTGTTCCCAGTGCATCCAGGCACCCATACAGCTATTTGGACAGCATTCCCCTGGGTCGGACCAGCTACAAGGAGCAGTATCTCTTCATCTACAGGTAAGGGATGCCACCAGGATCCAGCATCCCCCTGTGTCACCTGTTGTCCTCCCCAGCAGCCCAAAGGACAGTGGGTACCTTTGGGGGCCCTGGCTGTGGCAGGAATGGTGCTGGGGGCTGCTCTGCTCTCCTCCCTCAGGTCAGACATGGTCTCTGTGCTGGGAAGCTACTACTATGACGATGGCTGTGAGTCCTGTGGAACCGACACCTTCAGCAGAGAGCCCTTCATTGTGAAGTTCTCCTCACCCACCACACGTGAGCAGAGCCAGTGTTGGGGGATGCCCAGACCTGGCACAGAGTCCCCTCCATGCAGGGCTGAGCCCTGAGCTGTGCCTGCCAAGTACAGAGCCCAGTCCAGGGGTTCCATCAGGGTCCTTCACTGCAGTGGGGCCATCTCCCACCCGTGGGTGCACAGTACCTGCCCAGCAGGGCTGGCACTGCCTGCTGTTTACCACCAAACAAGCAGCAAACCCCAAACCATGTGCAAAGTGATGCAACTCCCCATTGGATATTTCAGTTTGGAGGACAGGCAGACCACCACAAACACTCTTCCCCTGTGGCAGTTTTTCCTGGCTGGTAGCTAGGGTATGGTCTGGGGGTGGTTCCCTGGGGCTCCTTCTCTCTTCTCAGGAGCTGCACCCAAGCCAGGGGCTGACAGCCACCTGTCTGGCAGAGGTGCAGGAGTTTGTGTTGGTGCCCCTGCACTCTGAGCCCAGCCATGCGGCACAAGAGATCGATGCACTCTACGATGTCTACACCGACATCATTGACAAGTGGGCAACCCATGTAAGTGGCAACAGGAGCTCAGCTCCTCCACAGGGCAACTGGGCAGATGGGGTATGGCCACCACACATCCCAGTGGCCATCCTGGGATGGACCTGTCCCATGGGAGGCCTCTTGCACCCATCAGGGCAGGTGCCATCCCATCAATCTCCTGCCATTGCTTGTCCCCACATACCAGGGAGCCCCAGGGGGGTTTGTGCCACCCCTTAAGATTTCAGGGAGCCCCTGCTGCCCTGTTAATTCGTGGGCAGGGACACATTGTGCTGCCCTGCAGGACATCATCTTCCTGGGTGACTTCAATGCCGACTGCTCCTACGTGACCAGCTCCCAGTGGCCATCCATCCGTCTCCGCTCCCTCCGCGACTGCGAGTGGCTCATCCCTGACAGTGCTGACACCACTGTTGCTGACACTGACTGTGCCTATGACCGGTGGGTGCTGTGGTGGGGGTTGGCAGCTGGCACAGGGAAGTTGGTAGGTGCTAACTCCCCCGTGATGCCCTGGCAGCATTGTCGCCTGCGGCTCTGCGCTGCGCCAAGATATCGATCCTGGCTCTGCCACTGTCAACAACTTTGAGAAGAAATTCCACCTCCAGAGCAAGGACGTGAGTAAGGGGCTGGGGCACAGGAGCCCACCAGCACGGGGATCCACCCCACCATACCTCCTGGGAGTGTGGGTGGACTCCCTGTTCCTCAGGGCACTCCTGAGTCTGGCCTGACCCCAACCCCTGCACCAATGCAACCTCACAGACTGAGCATTTTTGGATATGCAGTGAATTTGGGGGCTGGAATGGAGCACTGGGGTCCCACCCAGCTGTGACAGTGATAGTGACAGTGGGTCTGGATGTGATCAGGCCCTCTCTGCTCTCTCCCACACCCAGGCTTTGGCTGTCAGCGACCATTTCCCAGTGGAGGTGACCCTGAAATCCCTCTGAGCCCAACCCTGTGCCAGTGGCTACCAGGATGCTCCAGCACGCACCTGCATCCGTGGGAGCCCACGTGCCACCAGTGCCAGCCAAGCTGCTCACCATCTCTATAAGGAGCCACTCTTCTGGGTCTTGTGGGAGTGGGGCTCTTTGCTTCCATTAAAAATGAACCTTTTCCAGCCTTTGCAGCTCTGGATGGAAGGTCCCTTCAGCCTCCCCAGCAGCCCTTGGTACCCAAGCACCCTGGTTCATTACCAGTGAGTCAGGGAGGTCCTCAGGGCTGGGGTCTCCTCCTGCCAATGAGGGACTCAGAGCTGATGGCAGCAAAATGAGAGACACCAGGAAGACCCTGGGAGGCTCTGGGGATGCAGGATGCTCATGGGGCCACCTCCTGACAGAGCCTGACTGGCTATGGCTGATGGGGCACTGATGGCAAGGGTGGGGGGAGGTGAAGGACCTGAGTCAGTTCCCAGGGGGTTTGGTGCTCCCCAGGGGGGTTTCGGTGCCGACACAGTGCTGAAGGACACCAGACTCATCCTGAGACTGGGTGTGAGGATGCAAAACCTGGCAGTGCACGCGAGAGCCTGGCAAGCCCTGGCATGAGTCACTTCCCTGCCTGTTCTGCTGCTGCCACTCGGTCAGAGCCACTTGCTCTCTCATTGCCCTGGGGTGATGCCATGGGCTATGATGATGCCCTGGGTTGGCATGGGGAGTGCCAGTCCCGCTAGAGCTGCTTTGGATCACCAATGGGGCTGTCCTGGGTGACTGCTGGGGCTGCTGCAGGCATTCACATCCACCCCCTCTTGTCGAGGCTGGCGGTGCTCATCTGCCTGACCCAGACACTGGCCATTTCCTTCTCTCCCCTCTAATTACATCGCCTGAATCACCCAATTAAGGTCAGTGCCCTTCACCTCCTGCCTGGCCACTGTGCTCACTCTGTGATCCAGGGGGCCAACCCAGCTAGCTGTAGCCCTCCAAGTCCCCAGTGCCCACCCAGTCCCACCAGGATGCCCCAGCACTGAGTCTCCCCATTCCCCTTCGTCACGTCAGCACAGGGTGGCTGTGCTGGCCCCACCCGTTCGCCCTGTGGGATTTTTGGTTTCCCAATGTGGGAAGGAACCCAAAGACATGCCAAAACCCCCACGGGCTGTCCGACTCATCCTGCTTTGCCGGCACCTCTGCGGGAATAAAGCTGCCTGTCCAGATGCTGGGAAGGCAGAGGTTCTGCACTCTCGGCAAGGTAAGGACGCATCCGGGCTCAGCACCTTCAGCTGCAAACTGAGAGGGACTGGGATGAGCTGGGACGAGCTAGGATGAGCTTGGATAAGGAGTTGCTCCTTCCATGACCAAGGGGGCTGTGGTGAAGTTTGAGGAAGTGGAACAGCCTGGGGTGCTGGCAGTGATGGCTGGGGCTGGTGGGTGATGAAGACATCCCAGCAGGGAGCAGAGCTGGGCAATCCTAGGAGCTGGGAAAGATGCTGCTGGGTGGACTCACTACAGCACCATGGGATTTAGCTTCCTCTGGGACTGGCGAGCTGGCAGACTGACCATGCCAGCTCTGCAGGCTCTTCTGGGCAGTGCTCACCGTGACACTGTTGCACACCAGGACTTGGGAAAGATCCACATGTCCTTTTTTCTCTTTACTCTAAATCCAGCAGTGTTCCAAGTTCAGCTCCCATCACTGCATTTCTGTGACTCAGCATCCCTCCCTGCAGGATGGGGACCGTGACACTGGTATTGTCCCTGCTGGCTGTGGCTCTCCTGTGCCCAGCCACTGCCACACTGCGTGTCGGTGCCTTCAACATCCAGGCGTTTGGTGACACCAAGATGTCCAACAAGGAAGTGGCTGGGATCATCATCAACGTGAGTGCAGCTGGTGCAATGTGGCGACAGGCTGTGCACTGGGACAAACCCAAATGTGGCTCCTGTGCGAGGGACACGTGGGGACATGGCTGAGGATGAGATGGCTGGGGATGCCCTGGGTGGATGAAGGCTTGGTGGGGACCAAGGTGGAGTGTCAGGAACAGCCCACAGTCCCTGTGAGCCCTCTCTGGGAACATCTGTCCTAGTACCGAGGGACATGTGAGTCCTCGTGGTGCTGCAGCCAGCAGCATGTCAGGGTGCCTGGCTGGGATATGGGTGGGAGACTGGTCCTGAGCCAGCAGCAGGCTCCCACCCACCATCACTGTCTCTCTTGGCCTCGCAGATCCTGCGCCGCTACGACGTGGTGCTGGTGCAGGAGGTGCGTGACTCCGACCTCAGCGCCGTCACCGAGCTCATGGAGCAGCTCAACAGGTACGAGCAGGGCTGGGGCTGGGACAGCAGCACTAGCAGGGAAAGCCAAGATGCCTGAGCAATAAAAAGAAAAAAAAAGTTGCCCATCGACAGAGAATTTTTATTTGGCAAAGGGTATAGGAGGAAAGTGCTGAGGGTGAAGCTTTGAGCAGGCACTGAAATAAACACCGGGAATAATCTGGGGAAGGGATGGGGGATACAAGCACCACAAACCGGCTCCAAAAGCTGTAATCCCACCAGAGCACATGGGATGGAAAGGAACTACAGCTCTGGCAAGGTCCGTCCCCAAAATCCAAGAGGACAGGGCAGCGGCAAAACTCTGCACGACAATCCCCTGCGAGCGCCAGGAGGACCCTGGGATGGAGCCGGTAGTGGCTGATGCTCTGAAGCGAGTGAGTTTGGCACCTCAGGAGGAAGAGGGACTGCTGGGGTGGGCTAAAACTGGCCACAGCAGGGCAGCAGCCTCTCCACCGGCTGTGCTGACCCCGTTTTGGGTGAGGGCAAGGCTCGGGGCCAGGCAGAAACTGCTGCCGCCGTGTTGAAAGGCAGCGAGTGCTCCTGAGCAGGTACGCCCAGCCCGTGTCCTCCCCCTTCGGTGTCCCCTCCAGCACGGCTGCAAAGCAGCCAGGGCAGGGAGGGTGACGCCGGGCGCTGCAGGGCCCCAGGCTGCTCCCTGACCTAGTTCAGCTCTGCTGCAAATGAAGGTGAGGAGTGTCCCTGCAGAGACAGGGGTGGCAGGAGCCGCCCTGCATCCTGCCGTGCCCCAGGGGCCACCCCGGGGTGGGACGGGGGGTTTCAGAGCCACTGTACCCCGTGTCACCCCACGGCTGGGGCACAGTGGCCCATGGGGACAGCAGAGCAGGACTGGCTGGTGTCAGACCCATAGCTGCCCAGCACCTGGACATGCCAAGGCCAACCCAGGATAGTACCAGCCATGTCACTGGTGCGAGACATGTCATCATCCTGCCTTTGCATCTCTGCAGTGCATCCAAATCTCAATATGACTATGAGATCAGTGGCCCCCTGGGACGGGAGAACTACAAGGAGATGTACCTCTTCATCTACAGGTAATGGGGCTGGGGGTGCTGCCACCTGTGCCATGGCACTACAGGGCCACTAGCATCATGGAGTGGGCACAGGGGCCATGCTGAGCCCCAGGGTCACCATTCCTTTACGCCCACAGAACAGATGTTGTGTCCGTGGTGGACACCTACCAATACAAGGACCCCCAGGATGTCTTCAGCCGGGAGCCGTTCATCCTGAAGGTCTCAGCATCCCACACCAGTAAGCGGGGGGACAAGTGGCCCTGGGGCTTGGGGTGGCCACAGAGCTGACATTCCTCTCCCCTGGCAGAGGTAGAGGAGTTTGTGCTGGTGCCCCTGCATTCAGCCCCACATGATGCTGTTGCTGAGATTGATGCGCTCTACGATGTCTACCTGGCCATCGTCAACAAGTGGGGAACTGATGTGAGTGTCACCAGCACTGGGGGGCACCGAGGGTGGGTGTTGAGCTCTGGGGACTGTTTAAGCCATGCTGGGTCCCTGCTCCAAGGTGAGTGTGGCTGGTGCAGGGGTGGTTGAGATGGGGCCCTTGTTCCTGCCCTGTCCCTTGGCACAGGGGATGCCTGGGCACCCAGGACTGATCCCCACAGGAGAGTTGGTGTCAGGGGCAGCTCCATTCCCCAGACCATGAGCCTCCTCCTCTCCCCACTGCAGAACATCATGTTCCTGGGGGACTTCAATGCCGACTGTGCCTATGTCCACTCGAGGGACTGGTCAGCCATTCGCCTGCGCACCAGCGACGTCTTCAAGTGGCTGATCCCTGACAGTGCTGACACCACCGTGGGGAAGTCAGATTGTGCCTATGACAGGTGAGCACTGCCACCATGGCACTGCCCTCCCCTCCCCTCCCCACCCCTCCCTGCCCATCCCACACCACCACGTGGCTGAGTGCAGGGGCAGGAGTGGGACTTACCACCTGCATCTCCCTGGCAGGATCGTGGTGTGTGGTGCCAAGCTGAAGAGAAGCATTGTGTCCAATTCAGCTGGGATCTACAACTTCCAGCGTGACTTCCAGCTGGACCAGGAAGAGGTGAGTCAGGATCACAAACCTGGGGCTCAAACGGGCACCAAAGCTGAGCTGGCCCAGGCAGCATTGGCTGTGGGGCTGCCAATGTCTGTTCAGAGGGCTTGGGGTGACAAGGCATCCAAGGGTGGAAACAGGAGAGGGGATTTGGGGATTGGCCTGCCACCATGGGGAAGAGATGCACAGCATTTTCCATGGTCTTCCATGAGCAGGACTCTGGGGTATGGGGCAATCCAAGACAATCTTCAACCACACATCATTGGCACAGAGCATCCAAGCGAGACAGGAGGGTCTCGGAGGGCAGGGTGCCCCCTGCCAGTGCCTGCCCCAGGCCACGCCTGGTCATCTCTCCATGAGATGCACCAAAACTGGAGCCTTGGGTGTTGAGTGTCTTGAGGTTGTGCCCCTCCAGCAGGCAGAAGGCTCTGTCAGGGCAATCAGCCACCCTGCTGGCCACAGCAGCACAGTGAGGGGTGAGGGCCTCACCAAACCCTGTGTTACACATCCCTCCTCTCACCCTCCTCCAGGCCCTGGCAGTCAGCGACCACTACCCAGTTGAGGTGAAGCTCTCAGCTTGAAGTCCTCCTGCAGCCACAGACCACAATCCAGCTCCAGCTCCCACCACCAACCCCATGAAGGTGCTCCCCACATCCCTGTCTACAAGCCTTTTGTCTGGGCTGTTCTGGATCCTGATCTGGAGAAGGGTGGCAGCCAGCTGTGCCCCCAGAACACCAAGAACCAGAGCCTGGGGGCAGGCCACCAGCCAGGACATCGTTACCACAGACAAGCTGGGGCATGAAGCTTCCATATCCTACCTCATTGCAGACTTTATTGACAAACCTTATTTCACAATTAACTGTTGGACAGGAGGGAGGATATCCAAGGACTGATGGGCTCAGGTCCAGTGTGCTGAGCCCCCCTCTCTGCCTGTTCCTTGGCAGGGCTGAGGGCAGTCCCCACTCCCAGGGAAGGCAACAGTGGTGTCAGGCACTCTACAGGCACTAGGGGAAGGGATGGTTGGGGTAGCCGTGGGAGCAGGTGGCACGTCACCCATTGCTGGCACTGCAGATGGCTTTGCTGTGGAAGTCTACAGCTACAGCAGCATTTTGGAGGGTGATGGAGCTCCCAGGACCGGCCTGGGGCAGCTGCCTCCTCAGCTCTTCTTCTTCTTCAGCATCTCCATGTACATGCGAAGCGACTTCTGGATGGACTCTTTTGAGACAAAGCTGATGAAGTTCTTAATGTCTTCCTCCCGGTGAGCTACCAGGCGGTCCAACACTGCCTTCCTCATCATGGACTTGGTGAGCTGGCGAGCATGGTCTGTGGAGAGGGGAGTGAGGGTGAGGAACACACCTGGTCCTCGTCCCTGACCAGCTCTCAGCCACTGTCACCACATGCAGGTGCAATGGGGAGAAGTCAGACAGCAAAGGGCTCTTTAAACCAGCAGGGAAAGGTGTAAGAAAACCCCACCAGCTGGAAGCTGAACTGGATCAAGTCTTGTACAATAAACTGTGATCTGTATTGCTCAGTGGGAAAATGACTGATCTACTAGGACAGGTGACAAAAAGTTGTGCACCTCCTTCTCTCTGCACTCCCCCACCTCAATACACGTCCTCAGCCTCAGGACAGCAGTAACCAAACAAAATTCTGTGCTATTTCAAACTGCTCTGGCTCTAAGCTCCCCCAAACCAAACCCTTCAGCCTCTGGCAGAACAGCCTGCTCCTGCCAAACATGCTGTACAACAGCCAGCAGCACCGTCCCCTCGAGCTCCTCCCTGAGCCTGTGCCATTCTGCACGGATACATGGGTGCTGCTGGAGCACTGGGGGCTGCTGGAGCTGACAGAGGCCTTGAGCACACATCTGCTCACACACACACACACGGGGCAGCACATCTGTTGCACAGATGTTTTATGCACGCTCGTGGTGTACTTCAGCTATGACAGTGAAATGATGACTGACCCCCCATATACTGGGAACCCCAAATCCCTCCACAGCTGTGTGCTACAGACACTTTCACATGGACATGGCTCTGGTTTAGGGGAAGGATCTGCACAGAGACTCCTAGCAGTGAGGAGAGGGCACAGCTGAGATGTGCTCCCCATTCTGGGGGGTGAGGACTCACTCTAACACCAGGACAGCAGGGGAGAGAATTGGCCTGGGATGGGACAGCTCCAATCTGGCCCTGGGTAGCAGAAAGCTCTCTCCCAGCTCAGCAACCATGTACTGCAGTCACAGAGCTGCCCAAGCACAGGACGCCTGTTCTGTCTGTCTGTCCTCACGCCCCCACCACTGCCATCGCTTGCTCAGCAGACTGACAAGTTGATCCAGACCACAAAAGCAGACTGGCAGCCACCCAGGTGCTCTTGCCCAGCCTGTTTTCTCAGCTCCGTGGCAGCTTTCCTGGGCTAACACCTCCACTGACATTCAGTTTGTACCTGGAGCTCAGATGCCTCTGGTCTGACTCAGCAGGGCTGGCAGGGTGAGCCCCATGTGCCCCGCACACCCAGCACAGTGTCCATCTGTTAGCCCAAGGCTGCTAGAATGCTGAGCTGAACTTTCCTACCTCCCAGCCATCCACACCTTCCCTTTAAATGGAAACTGTTATGTAGTTCCCAGGTGCCAGCTTTCCCACTCAGATCAGATCCCCTCTTCCTCTGCCAGAGGTTTACCAGGAAGGGCCAGCCACTGCGCCATGACAGCTGCAGCCTTCTCCAGGAGCTTCTCCTCTGGCACCAGCTCATCCACGAGGCCTAACTTGTGGGCCTCAGGTGCAGGGTGGAGGCAACCCAACTGGAGGGAGCGTTCAGCAGTTCGGTGTCCCACAACGTTCACAAACGTGTCCTTAAACCTGGCAGAGATGGGAGGGAGAACCATGGTCAGGGACAGAAAGACCCAGCAGCAGCTCACCCAGACACAGGAGCTGAGAGCACCCTGTGGCCACTGTCCAGGCTCGGAGCTCAGAAGAGCAGCTCCAGGCTCATCCACACCATAGAACTTTGCAGGTACACAGCATGTATCCAGAGAAAAGCATAGTGGGACTGAACCTGACCAGTGTCCCAGCATTAGTTTTGGAATTGGCTGCAGGGTCAGAACTAAGGTCCTTGTTGGTGAAGGATGTGAGGACATTCTGCAGCCTGAAAGCTTTTCAGATACCTGCAGGACAGGACACAACTCCTGCAGCTGCAACTACCTGATCACTGGCACATAAACTACAACTCAGTGATCAGCTGAACTGATTGATGAACCCCCTGAAGATGTAATCTTTTGAGGGACCTACACATGACACTAGCAGTGGGAGGCACTGGCCTACCAGAAGGGAGCCACAATGCCCAGCTGGGCTTCGTTGAGGCCGATGCTGAACTTGGGGTTCTCTGCCATGATCCTGTAGTCACACGACAAGGCCATGAGGCATCCTCCCGCCGGGCTGGACCCCTGGCAGAGAGAGGGATGGAGTGAGCCTGAGACACAGGGACAAACATCCTACAGCCCCTCCAGAGCAGGGAAGACACAGCAGATGTCCCCAAAGTTTCTGATCACCTGATTTGAAACAGCCCTAAAGATTTCTGTTCGGTTTATCAAGGTTTCCTAGAATCACAGAATGGTTTGGGCCAGGAGGGACCTTAAAGATCATCTCATTCCAACCCCTCTGCCACGGACAGGAACACCTTTCACCAGACCAAACCATGTGTGGAGACCTCCAGAGCAGAGTCTAGCCCAGTTGGCTGGTGGCCAACAGCTTCACTTCCAGGGATGGGGCAGTCACAGCTTCTCTGGGCAACCTGTGCCAGTGCCTCACCACCCTCACAGGGGAGAATCCCCTTCCATTTGTGACCATCTTTGCCACGGCTTGGGGCTGCTCAGCCCTGCACAGGATGCCTGCAGGAAGCCCCAGCTGCCTCCAAAGATGAGCTGTGGACAGATACCACCCGAGCTGCCAGGGCAGCACTGCACTGGAAAATAAAAACAAGACACCAAGCATGCAACAACCCAACCATGGACATGAAGGTTCCCTCATCACTTCCTGGCCAACCCAGAACCATGTCTGGAGGAGCAAATCCTGGTGGAAATGCTGCAATGCTGCTGTTCTTTAGCAGTGTCTGCAGCTTTCAGGGAGGCTGCAGCATCCCACGCTTCCACACCTTCCCACACGCTGAACTGGCAGACATGGATTTCACCCAAACACCCCAACAAACATATCCCTGGGTTTGTCTCAGCCTGGTTTTTTGGCTGTCCCTGCCCACACAGTGTACCAAGCTACAGCATGTGACAGGGTAAGGAGGGAGATGAGTCCAAAGGACATACATTGACTGCAGCAACTGTCACCAGGTTGGAGCCATACAGCCGCAGCCACATCTCCTGCACAGCTCTCCAGAACTCGCCATAGTGCTCTGTGCTCTTCCCACACATCTCAGTGATGTCCAGACCAGAGGAGAATATTTTGGGGAGAGACTGGAATTGGAAAAACCTGTCAGTTAGTTACTGCTCAGGGAGGACCCTGCAGCCCTCAGTCTGGCAGCCTGAGCAAAGGGAAAATGATCATTTTATGTGGTATCAATCAGCATCTTTTGTGGTCCTGAAAATATCCCCTCAGTGCTCCCACAGCCTGGATTCTCCCATCACCACAGCCTTGCAGCACTGGGACTCTGCTTGCAGCACCATTTCTCATTGTCAGGGTCCCTGTAGGAGCCCCCCAGCCATGCAGCACAAAACCTGTCCTGTCCCATTCCCAGGTACCACCTTGTCCCCACACCACTGAAAACAAACACTGGCAGGTCCCTGCAGGCAGGCCACGAGATGTCACAGGATGTGTCAGCTCAGCAGATAAGCACCTCTGATTTTTCTGACAAGCAACAACACTTGGTTGTTGTTGTTCTCCCAGAAAAGGGCACGGTAGAAGGATCCCAGTGTTCCCAAGAACCCTATCCCCTCCTTCCAGGGCTGATCAAAGGTGCCTCCAGGCCCTCCCATGGCAGTGAGCAGTGACCCAGGAGAGCAAACAGGAGCAGGACAGTACGTACGGACGTGATGATCACACCCCGGCAGGCTCGGTCGTTCTCCAGCTTCTCCATGGCTATGGAAAACTCTGTGAGGAAGTCCAGGCTGAGGCTGTTCACTGGGGGACTCTTGAACTTCATCGTGGCAACACCTGTGCCAGGGTAAACACAGAGACATCAGAATCCCCACCACAGCAGCACACACTCCCTGCCCAGGGGGTCACACACCTGTCTGAGCCTGCAGCACCACGGCAAGGGCTCTGAGCCCTTGTCCCCTCCCAAATGGCACTACTCTATCCCTAAAGGTCCTCTCCAAGTGCCAGTCTGGGTGCTCCAGCCATGCCCAGGCTGGGGACAACGTGGGGAGACTCCCAGGGCCCTGGCATTCAGAGGCAGGACCTCGGAAGCCACAAGAAGAGGCCTCTTTGTCCAATGCAGGGACGTGGGCCCGTGACAGCTGGCAGCCAGGGCACAGAAATCCCCAACAGCTGCTCTCTGAGGCAGCACTGCCACTCCACCAAGTGCCCAAAGCAGAGGACAGCACCTGGGCAGTGACAGCTAGGCTGTGCCTGTGGCAGCCCAGCAGCACACGGCCACCTGTGTGCCTTCCGCCTTCCACTCCTAGATGCTCCCCTCCAAGGCTCCTCAGCAGCTGCAGCTGCAACATTTGGTGCTTTGGTGGCTTTCCATACCCAGGGCCACGCGTGCCATGGGGCAGGGATGGTAGGGGCCCTGCCTGGGTCCCCGAACACTTGGGTTGAGGTAACACCGCAGCAGCTGCCATGTGCCATACCTGAGCTCTCGTTCAGCTCCACTTGGATCTTGTTGTTGCTGAAGGCACGGCGCGGGGCTGGCAAGGGCCCAGGGGGCTGGCAGGGCCCGGAGGGCTGCCGGACCACCCTGCCCCATGCTGGGCAGCACAGCGGCAGCACACCTGGGGGGCACAAAGAGGCAGGGATGGGCAAGGTGTGGGGGGTGTGCCCCAAAACAGC